CTCCACCCCCACCCCCACCCCCGCCAATCTTAAAACAAGATAATAATCGTCTTTTGTACGTCACGTCACAGTTGCACCAATGTTGGCCCCCACATAGACAGACTAGAAGTCCCCAAATGTAAATATAGTAATTTAAGTCAGGTGAGTTGCAAATGAACGACTCTTATATACACCTTTGACTTTTACAATTAGGAAGGAGGGGATCAAAGGGCTGTTAACGCTTTATCCTAAGCGGACACTTAAAAAGCTGTACTTTATACAAAGGTAATAAGAGGGATCTTTATAGTCCAAGCACTGGCACATTGGCTTGGTGTTTCACCACACTAACACACACACATACACACACACACAAACACACACACACACATCCATGCACACACACAAACACACACACACACACACACAGCCATGCACACACGCACGCACTCACGCACGGACACACACATACGCGCGCACACATACCCTCTCTTCCACACTTATAATTTAGACATGGGCCTACATACATACAATAACATGCTTACACTCAATAATAATGTTTTAGTTTAGTTTTAGTAAAAGTTTTACGGCACTTGCAACACAAAAAGGTCATATAAGTGCCGCAGATTAGAGGTGTTACAAGAGAGTAACAAACCCCCAAAAAGAGGAGGAGAGAGAAGGACGATAGCATTTGATAAGAAAGAAGGAGCAAACCACACCAGAGCACCCACCAACCACCCACTTATAATGTTTAATGTATACAATAATCAGTATCCGAGCTAAAAAGAGTATCAACAAAATAACTGCCATACTTAATATATAGGCTATTTAATCAGTAAGCGAGGTAAAAAAAATAAAAAATAATAGTGGGTAGGTTTGTTTGTTTGTTTGTTTGTTTGAGGAAAGAGAAGCACAGCGACACGATAATGGCCATTTAGTGCTGATTAAAAGTAAGACAGACAGATAGAAATAAGACAGGGAAAGTAAAGAAGTAGGACCTACCATAGTGGCGCTCTCCAAACGCCCGCTAAAAAGAAGAGCATCAACAAAATAATGGCGATGCACAACTTTTGAAAAGCAATACAAAGAAGAGAAGAATCAGAGAAAAGAGGCGCTAGCCTAGGGCCAATCGCTGGCGGCCTCCCTAGACATAAGTGTCTCCAAAACAGTTTAGAGCGCCCGAGCTGCTGTAAGGGGAAAAAAAAAGAAAACCCAACGTAAACAGGCGTTTAGAAATCACCTGACCCCGTTCCAATAGGCCTTGAACCCAAACCCAGCTCGGCAAACAAACAGCCTCACACACCACACATCAGACGAGCAGGCCAGGCAGGCGAGCGGTAGTGGTTCGCCAAACCAAGACCGTGTTCTGGGACTTGCCTCTGACGACACGATTCTGGCTTGACAGATGTTCCGAGATCAAGAATAGTTCAACTAAAAGACGCACTCCTCCACCCTCATCCACCTCCCACCTTCAACCTT